GACATAATATTAAAGCATAATTTAAGCCCATTGCTTATGCAAAATGTTGACGTTGCCAATTTTTAGAAATCCGTCGGCCTGTGATACAACCGCTGACACTTCATTTCATCTGGCGTCCAAAACATACGCGGCCACACCCACCAAACTCGTTTACGTCCATCGCATCCATGTTACGTCGCGGCACCCACTGACGGTAACGCCCTTTAACCTGCACAACCCACCTACCACAGTAATATACAACTATATTACTGGTAGGATATCTAGTACTGGACAAGTTGTATTTATTAACCATCATGTTAATTATTGAAACGGGCCCAAGTGCCTGTTGTTTACTGACGCCCTGACGCACTCATAAGGTCATGCATCCCCAGGGTACTGCCGGAACACTACCCTGCGTCACATATTTGATATGCATCGACGCACTAGTCTAGGGTTAGGGATTAGCGGCTGTTAGGGGTTAAGCGTTAGGGGTTAGGGGTCAGGGTAGGCGACTCCCTTAGACTCGTGGTGTTATTCTCTTAGTTGGGCGGGAGCTAGCGAGGTTTCTATCTTCTTACATGATATGTCATGTCATGTCATGTTATGGTATGGTATGTTATGGTAGGTTAGGATAAGTTACCTTACGTAACCAAACGTATAACCCAAAATTCAATAAATACTTGTAACTACGACGTTACTTATATTCATGTATATTATGTCAACATCTTTTTTTGTTACAAACTAATTTACACATTCCATTGTATTTTCCATAAAATGGAATCCGCAATGATACTTACTTCACATAGTAAACTGCTGTGCAAAGACACACTAAAGATTGTACCTTAATTCTTCTTTCATTTCAATTTCAATATTTATCTTTGTTTGACAAGTGAATAGGATGAGTATTTACAAGGACATTCCCTACATGTTGTTTTCACCTTGAATTCTATAAGACAAGACGAAAACAGGTTTTAGGGAAAAGCAAACATGACGACTGCTTAGATGAAAAAACTGTCTAAACAGTCTGTGCCTATGTACTTACTACCTGCAACTGGCAAAGAGTCATGGCACCACAGAATTGACGTGATCTCATGAAATGTTCAGCATGCCAACATAATTGTAATCACATAACATTTCACCGTTGATCGGAGCCATCGATGGGGCGAGTCTCGACGTAGGAATGCAAGAGTTCCATTCAGGAACTCAATAAAAGGTCTATGCCTGTAACACCTAAACATCAATGTCAGGTGATAGGTACCCCTATAAAATATCAGGGTCTTCTATACATATGTAGATTAATATCGCTGACGTGCTGTCACCGATCGTGTGCGCCTTACAAGAGACACGTTTGTCATTCAGAACTCGACAAATGGACGAATGTCTGATATCATCTACTACGAACAGCCTGTTAATGTACAAGAAGTGTTTGGAGCTCCATCAGTCACTGTGGCATGGGTGGCGGGAGCATGCGTGGGTCAGTCGGTGCTGTTGTTTCCAGGTTCTTTAGCAGTTGGGTGAGCCAGTGCTTTGTCGACTTGTCATCGGACAGACATTTGGCAAACGTGTTGTCTTTCAACTGGTCGGGTAGACACTGTCGCAGTGCCTCCCTCGCCCTGCAATGGTAGAGTCACAATTACACTGTGCTCTCTATGGAATGTTACCGCGTTTCTTTGTTTGTCACACATTGGATTCAAATTTGACTGCTGTCAATGTACCAATTATGTTCATGATGAATTCATATTTACCTTGTGACCAAATGTCGATAGTAAGTTAATTTCTTGGATTTAACAGAAGATAAATATGAATTAATAGTTTTCAACGAAATCCAATGAACTTATTTCATTCATTATGTTCATGATAATTAACACTATAGATGGAGATTAACTACACTTCAAATCGAGTTAATACGTTAACCTATCCGGCTGGCACGACTGACAGGTAGCGCTAGCCAACCATTGCAGTGAAAGAATGACCCAAAATTCAATGCTTAGCAACGAAGTACAACAAACTCAATAACTTGGCAGGCACACAGGAAAATCATGTTTAAACTGATTTAGCTATACCTGTCATAGCAACATCATTGCCAGTGCCATATATAAAGGAGCATGGCTATCTTGCTCAGACAGAAAGGTCAACTTTAATCATTGTGACTGCAAAATAAGTTTACGAATTTACAATTTTAAGTTTATAACCCACGTAAAGTTTTATACACCCTTTGTTTCTCACCTCGGATTATCAGAGAGCCTCAAGTAGCAGCGTACCACATGTTTGAGCAGTCTGGCTGATTGCTCTTTAGCCAGTGACAGCACCATTTTTCCCTGTTCAAAACGAGCATACACAGTTACCATTCACATTGGCACTCTTCCCCTTGTTCTTTTGTTTTATTTCATGAACGAGCACAGCTCTCTAAGATTGCTACTGAAAACTATTTTCACTCAAGAGGATTAAGAAATTAATTCACACGTTAGCAACTGCCAATATTGGCAATACATTTCAGATGACTTACGAGTATCATGGCAACATGAGAGAAACGTTCATATGTTTGACAGATGTATGACAAGCCGGTCTCATCCAATAGGATCTTCTGAAGGATAAAGGTTGCGACCTATGATGAAAAAAAATCAACGTGTCACTTATCATAGTTCATGTTGTCTCGCAAATAACCATTTTGGTGCAATATTACGAGGCAGTATATGTTTCGAAACACATTTATAAAAATTCCACACGAATTATTAATTGACCATCATGCTTGTATGGCACCATGTATAGCAACTTACAGTCTTTGACAGTTCACTTCCTGACTCCATGATTCTCAGACACAATGGAATTATCTCTGTTGTTAGTAGGAAATTAATGACATCTTGCTCGTCCGTCTGAAAAAACAACCAAACTCTTACAACATCGACTGTGTAACTGGGACTTGTTGGTTAGCTAAAGGCAGAAATGAACAGATTTCTCAAATACCATCAGCTCACTCAACTATAGTGTGTTCTATTAATTACAAAATACAGTACAAACCACTATACCATAATGCCCACTGCCACAATGTAAATTCCGATATAACATGATCATCACATGATTCTAATTTCTCCTGTTTTCCATTTACTTTTGTAAAATTTGCAGTTGTGTTGAGGTTTAGCTTTCTTCTGATGTAGTAAAATGAACATTTTTGAGAACGTATCTATTGCGTTTGTGAAACTATATCTATTATCTATACTCTATCTATTATATATTCCAGATATATATTCTATTGGGTACTTACCTTAACTAGTGCCCCAATAACACCTAGGCTGGTTAGTCGCAGATACTCAAATGGCCTAGTCTTGCTCACAGTGTGTAAAAATGGATACAGAAACAGAGGGATGTGAGCTGAAATAGAAATGTGATGCCCCGACTCACTAAATGACACCTACGATCACCGTAAACTAATGTAGTTTATCAATGAAAACTACTCACCCAATACTTCACAAATACCTATCTGTTTAACTCAACACAAATTAACTTGTTCAGATTCATAAATAACCACAACGGAGCTAATTAGCCATTCATATTCTTGTCACGCTCAATGATTTAGATTTTAGGATAACGCAGAACCCCAAAAACAAAAATCACTTTTACAATCATGAAAAAATTGTTTTTAAAAATTAGGAACAATGTCGGCTTACCTTGAAGAAAGGCTGACCTGGTTTCGGGGTGAGAAGCGACACACTGCAGCAGAGCCAGGGCATTGCACACCCTGTTCGATTGGTGGGCCTGAAGCATAATCACCACTAGTGTTGTCAATCGGTTGTAATTTTGTAATTGATCATCGGTTGGACCCAAGTAACCGATGATCGGTTACAATCGGTTACTCGGGGTGTTGAAGGCCTGCGTGTGCGTACGTGTGCATGTATGTGCTTGTTTAGCCCTGTTTACTGTTTGTTTTGCAATGTTTACTACTGTGTGTATAATACATGTATGTTAATAAAGGATAACTTGTATAGTAGCGATGATATCTCTGATTCTCATCACTTTTTTCAAGTTTTCTTATTCAAGTTTTACATTTATTTCGATTTTTTTTTTTTTTTTATGAAATCGATTATGGATTTTGAGCTTGGTTCGAGGCACTGTTCAATCGATGATCGTGACATCACTAATCACCACACGTTGCAAATACACATGACATGCAGCAGATAATGCAAAATTTATTAAACCTATCATACTATATAAGATGTTTTCCCATGGGGGAGGGGCATGTCCGGCAAATCTTGCTTACATGGCAGGCCCATTGTTCGACACTATTTTCTCCACAACTAGAGTCACAAGTGAGCTCAATGCCACACCCAATGACCATCACAGAAAAAAAGACATTTTGCATTCCCTGGCAAGCAGGTTTACATTCTTCAGGTTTGATCAGATCAAGTTAAAAAGAATCTGACACGGAATGGTGGCTGAAATGTTGATTTGTTCTCTGCTCAGACTGAAGATTGTTAATGCTCACTGTAGGAATGACAATGAAACTCTGCAGATGACATAGTGCATGAGATCTGGGAGTTCATATTCCATTCACCATCACAGTATGAGAATAGCCATTAAAATGAGTAGTCCTTGTGAAACTGAGGGTGTGCATATGTATGCAACAGACAAAATAAAATTTGGCTAAATAAAGTACATTTAAAAGCTAACGATTGGCATTTTAATGATGAATAGTTGAGCATACTTACAGTGAGATGGGGTGGGTTGATGTAGGGGTAGATGCTTACAATCTCTTGCAAAAGTGCAGCTATCGTCCCAAACGAATGCCACAGCATAGGTGCAAGGTCTGGAACGACCTCTCTCTTTTTACTGCATGAAAAAATATGGTTAGTCATCAAGGTTTCAATATTTAACTTAACTAACAGAAAATTTATGAAGCTGAGTTTGTTAAGCATTAGAACCATTACAATATATACATTCACCACATGCTTACATATTACCAATGATACATTTAATAATTTGTATACTATTAAAAATATATCCTTTTGACATCAATAAAAAAATATGGAAAAGTTACAGAAAAATATTATCAAACTGTGTGCACTTATATCTGGCAATATTGTGGTGGTCTTTTATGCAAGTATTGAATGTATTGCCATTTCATAAAGATCTACCAAAGCCAGCCACTATAACCAGGATCATAGAAATATTTGTTTATAGTATAAGTATCCGAAGCAGATTAAATGAAACAAGAGCTGCAGAGCGTCTGGGCTCATCTGAGGTCTGTTGCTACGGTTATAAACGTAACATTTAAGTCGTGCGTAGTGACACCTTTGTTAGGCACAGATATGCAGATACGCAGTTGCGTACACATCATTTCAGCAACCTTCTGCATTCTGCATACCTCCGAAATCCCATTGGATGATACAAATCACGTGCCTGAAACTCCTGTTTTATGGTGCATTGTGACCCTAACCCTGACCCAACCCTATTAAAAAAAATATATATTAATTGTTGTAAAAATTATTTGTTGTTATTAAATTGTTGTAAATAAATCATGTCAATATTTGTGTTAATTGGAAAAAAATAGTTAAATAGATAAAGATAGAAAAATACAGAAAACAGGTAAATAATAAAAAATCTGATGGGATTCGATCCAACGACCTTTGAGCCGTGAAGCCCGTGCTGTACGCGTTCGGCTATCCAGGCTTATTGGCTTTCTAGATTATGGATGTGCCATGAATATGAGAACACTGTGACATCATTGAGGCAGTTCAGGAATCAATGTTTAACCCTCCTCTTGAGGGTCAAAAGGTTCTCAGACACTTACTCTTCGCACGTCAGTGGAAAGCACATTTCATGGTCCTTACAATAAAGTGATAAAAATGGTAGGTCAGCGCTGAAACAAAAAAGTTTTCCACTCTTCCGTTCATGTCCTCAGAAAATGTCTGATATCTGACCTTTCCCCCACTGCCCTTTGACCTGTGACCTCCAATTTCGCACTGGTGATGGGTTTCCTGCCCATCACACTATACACCGAATATTAAGAGCATAGGTCGAGCCGTTCAGATATGTGCCGCAATTCCGTATTTCCTCCTATACCTTAAGTTAAGGGGGAAATATTCCCCCTCCGTTTACACATCTTGACCTTTGACCCTTGACCCCCAAATTGGTCATCCCGAGTCCTTTTCACGATCCCACCCGACGTCCCGAATATCGTGACCGTACGTCGAGCGGTTAAGATTTGTGCCCAACTGTTGACGGACAGACGGACGCACGAACGCACGCACCATCATGCGATTCTACAAGCTGCATCTGACTACATCAGATGAGCAAAAAATCATGGCTAATAGCCGAGGTTGTGCATCGAGTAATTGCTGTATAACTACTAGTTTAATATCATCACCTGAGCTCAAGCAGGGCATTTTCACGTGTGTCAGGGCTGGATAACTCCAGAATCCACTCATATATCTTATCCCTGTCAACCTGCTGCAAGCCAGTAGTGACTGGCTGCTGGCCAGAGTTCATGAATCGCTGAAATAAAAGTAGAAAAGTTTCAATTTTAATACCATGTACAGAAGAAAAAGGAGAATTTCAATATGGAATGACAAAGATTAAAAAAGCAGAAGAGATCCTTCGAAGATGATGGACCAAGCACAGAACCCTGCCACAGAAACCGATGAGACAGCAACACGGGGTGTGAAATTATCGCTAGTCCGTTAGTGCGAGACTACCAGATTTACTCACGAATTACTAGATTGCAGTAACAACTAGTCCTGTAGACTACCTTACTGTCAGCGTAAACTTAAGTTTGCAGCTTTTGAATAACAGAGATAAATAAACTAATAAATTATAAGACTTCATTTACCTGCAATTTGCTACAACTTCTTTTTTTAAATTAAACCACCAATTATTGAATTTCCCTAAAAGTAGTATTCTTCATCGCGCACATTGATTACTAATTTGGAGCAGAGCAGCCCCTTTTTGCATATGCTATATAACGTAGATAGACTATTACAAAATTCTGAACTACCAGAATTGCTTACATACTACCAGACTAAAAAATTGAATAGTCCGTGTAACTACCAGACAAAAACGTAAATTTCACACACTGACAGCCACTATTGACATACAGCCACGAATACAGTCACAGAGTTACAGACAGCCTAAAATCAGCTGAGTTCGATCAGGCTTCTAGACAAATGTTAGTATACCGCATGACACCTATCCATTTAAAAATCTTCAACCTCAACCTCTATATAAACTCTTGAAAAACTACGTATAGGATCGCAAAGAAAATTAATATTTCGTAAAATTTTCACTTGTTTTGTATTAACGTTAAAGCCGCACTATGCGCATCCAAACGCTAATTTCTCCAGTACTAGACTAGCAAATACTTCGTGTCATGCATAATCACACTAACTTATGACAAAATAAACTCTAGTTCCTCCCATTTCACTGCGCGTTGTCTTATAAAAGGCATTTGAAAATACCTCCAATGTTGTTCAAATTCTCCGATGTTGTTGACACTTTCGCATTGCTCTGCCAAGCAACCACACAGCGGTACGGGTGTAGCAAAGATAAAAACATGTGACGTCACCTAACCGATTCTTGGCGAAATTGTTTGGCAAACAATTTAGCATTGGCGCCAGATTACCAGATTTCGCACCTCTTTCTTGTGGGTTTTAAACAAACGCGCACACTGAAATGGGAGAAACTAGAGTTTATTTTGCCATAAGGTAGTGTGATTATGCATTCATGACACGAAGTATTTGCTAGTCTAGTACTGGAGAAATTAGCGTTTGGATGCGCATAGTGCGGCTCTAACTTTAAGCTTTATGTTCAAGTATTCCAGCTATATTGGAAATTAAACACAAGTGCACTGTATACACTGTAGTATTTGTGGGACATGTCTTCTAGACTAGGACCGTAAATTTCATGAGGTGAACAAAGTAAAATAGCATGTAAGTTGGCAGTGTCTAATTAATTACTGCGAGTAAGTCAGATGTTTTTTATTCATTTAGATTACTAAATGTTACGCGTGCTATGGCGTTATTTGGAAACTCAACCAACTACGGGGTTTTGTATAACAAGAATTTGAAACGGTCTTTTGACGTATGACTATGACTCATGAGTATGAGTAGGGTATGACGCGGCTTAGCTCTAGTACTATAGCCCGCATTCAGTAACTGCCGCAGGGCTATAGAACATTCTCGCACAGATTTCGTACCACCACCGGGTCCCGATAGGTTCCACTCAAAATGGCTGACAAAACGGAAAATGATCGGGCTTTTTAACACTTATTTATCTAGATGGACATCTCACCTATCTTTTTGAACACTTCCACAACTTTACACCATGTATTTATGCATTTATTACTAAATGTCTTAACACTACTGGTGTTTCGTTTTCAAATGCGGTTGCTCTGCTTATGTGTATACGCGTGACGTCACCCGAAATGTACTAGGCTGAATCATAGCTGCCCATGTGTTTTGTCTACATTTCGGGTGACGTCACGCTTATACACATAAGCAGAGCAACCGCATTTGAAAACGAAACACCAGTAGTGCTGACTTTTAGGAATAAATGCATAAATACATGGTGTAAAGTTGTGGAAGTGTTCAAAAAGATAGGTGATCTGTCCATGTACTGATGTAGATAAATAAGTGTTAAAAAGCCCAATCATTTTCCGTTTTGTGAGCCATTTTGAGTGGAACCTGTCGGGACCCGGTAGTGTTACGAAATCTGTGCGAGAATGTTCTATAGCCCTGCAGCAGTTACTGAACGCGGGCTATAGTACTAGAGCTAGACGCGGCTATGACCCCCGGGGGGGTCACTATATGTGCCGGTATTACCCCATGTGCGTTCCAAATTTTGCGGGTTAGGGGGGTGTTTTTCAACTTCTAAAGAGGGCCCGTGCGGGAGCAAATAGGCCCCCCTTTACAAAGCTAATCCCGCAATAAGCCCTCGAGATCGTTCAAGTCAAGCACCGCGCCCGCAGTAGGCCCCCCTCACGGGCCCCCTCCATTCCCTCCACTCTTTGCCCTCCACTTGTCTGCAAGACCTCGCAATAGGGGATAGGGGTCCGGGTTAGACCGAATAATTCTGTCCCATATAACCTTTTTTATGTTTTGGTGATGGTTATTGGGACAGAACGGGGTTCATTGAAATTTCGTGAGATCGCATGCAAAATGCATGCGCTGCGAATGCGGCCCATACGCCGATATTGGCGCGCCCCGCCTTGCAAACAACCCTTATTTCCCACACCACTGTCCATTGAAGAATATCCCGCCTACGTCCCATACCCTATGGAAAAATCGCCACCCCCTATTGCCATACACAAGAAAGTGTCCACCGACGCCTAAGATCCGAATAATCTGACCATATAACCTTATTTTTATAATTTTGGTGAGTTAATTGGGACAGAAACGGGGTTCATGTGAAATTTTCGTAGAGATCGGGCATGCAAAATGCATTGCTCTGCGAATGCGGGCCCATACGCCGCTATTGCGCGAAAAAAAACCTACCGTTCCCTTCTACAATGGCTTTAACCTTGCTACTGAATGTTGTATACATTCACTTCAAATCGTGATTCCACTTCTAAAAGATTGTTTTCAGAAACCCTGTCCTGACCACGGCCACCACCACACACCAGGCAACACGCCACACACCCGGGACGCCAGAACACCTTCTTAACTTTAGTATATTACTTCGGCTTACATTTTACAAACATATCAGACCATAGAGGCGAGTCTATCCAGCCTTCCTGCAGGCGCCATGCAATACAAGCCGAAACGGCAGGGCTAATTGTATAGCCTCGTTCTCTATTGGTCTGATTCTTTTGTAATGGCGAACGTAATATACTAAAGTAACATAAGCGGGTTATTGGAAAAACGATCTTTTAAAGAAGCGTGAATAAGGATTGACAGTGAATGTATCATCACATATCAGTAAGCCAAGGTAAAGCTCATGAGCAAGTGGCAACGGTAGTTTTTTTTCCGCG